GCGATCCACCATCACCTCTCGGGAGATCCAGACCGCTGTCCGTCTCCTCCTCCCCGGTGAATTGGCCAAGCACGCCGTCTCTGAGGGCACCAAGGCCGTCACCAAGTACACCAGCTCTAAGTAAACAGTTCATTTACGGACTTTTACTTACATCAACGGTCCTTTTCAGGACCACCAACTCTCACAAAAGAACACCTGAAACATGATGAAAACCAAACGCACAAAAAAAAACAACACATGTATTAATATTACATACGTATTAGAATTACAATATAAATATTTTTTCGCCTCTGCAAACAGTATTTACTGGCCAAATGACTTGATAAACAACCTCTCATATAGACAAATATAATACACAAAACTATAAGACATAGGACATTAAGGCACATACTTACCGTGTATACACAATAGTGTCGCTACACGCGCGAATAAACAAATGCACATATTCAAATGACGGGGCATTTGCTTGTGTACATTATGTGAGTGAGTGAGTGATCTATCAATAAATCAATCAATCCACCAATCAATCTATCAGTAAGTAGGTTAGTTAGACTGAGCGATTGAATAGTTTGTGTTGTGACATCTAATTGGGCGGCGTTAGGGCCAATCTCGGTAACAACTGAGATAGGTAAGCAAGTAAGTAACAAGTAAGCACATTACTAGACCATGTTGGGAATGTTTTTACACTGCTGTTACTTAAGGCATACCTAAACAGTGTGTTTTTACTCAGCGAATAATGTTGTTACAAGTAATGTGTAATACTGCACATAACTGCGGTCTGGTTGCTCATTCACAATATGCACGTGTAATGTATGAATGTGTATGTATGAATATGAATATGAATATGAATAATATAATGATGACGATTTGTTTTCAAAATCAAGTTTCAAGGATTCTTTTGGGGTATTTGGTGGTCCTGAAAAGGACCGTTGAGAGTGTTGGTGAAAACACAAAGTTTTCAACCGCCGAATCCGTAGAGGGTACGTCCCTGGCGTTTCAAAGCATAGACGACGTCCATGGCAGTGACAGTCTTCCTCTTGGCGTGCTCGGTGTAGGTGACGGCATCACGGATGACATTCTCAAGGAAAACCTTGAGGACACCACGGGTCTCTTCGTAAATCAGACCTGAGATACGCTTGACACCACCTCTTCTTGCCAGACGACGGATGGCGGGCTTGGTGATACCCTGGATGTTATCACGCAAAACCTTCCTGTGACGCTTAGCGCCCCCCTTTCCAAGACCTTTGCCTCCTTTACCACGTCCAGACATGTTTACTCTGAGAGAATGACAGACAGAATGCCGTCCGCTCGCTGCAATTCACCTTATGTAGGCGAGGCGCGGACCTCTGAGAAGACAACCAAGCATAACGATAGCACTATTTACGCTGTAGACAGCATAATAAAGATAAATACACGATTTTTTTTACGTGGGCATGTCAATTAGCACTATTGTGTTCATATATGTCGTGTTCGTTACGCGTCATTGTCGCGATTGTCGGTTATTACAAGTAATTGATCAAGGCGATGCCTAAAGTTTTACACTAACATCGCATGTATTGAGACTCGCTCACACAGCCAAGCCGAGGCCGTACGACGACGAACGTGAACACAACCAATCAGCATGGCTGCTCACTGACCAATCAACGGCTTCCCCGCGCAAGTCCGACTCCCGTAAGAGCGAGCATTTACTCTGTTTGGTTCAGTTTCACTTGTGAATCGAGATGGCACGTACAAAGCAGACAGCGCGTAAATCCACCGGAGGAAAGGCTCCCCGTAAACAGCTGGCCACCAAGGCTGCTCGTAAGAGCGCCCCGGCTACAGGAGGTGTCAAGAAACCTCACAGATACAGGCCAGGAACAGTCGCCCTTCGTGAGATCCGTCGTTACCAGAAGAGCACCGAGCTTTTGATCAGGAAGCTGCCCTTCCAGCGTCTGGTCCGTGAAATCGCCCAAGACTTCAAGACCGATCTCCGATTCCAGTCTTCAGCCGTCATGGCCCTGCAGGAGGCTTCCGAGGCTTACCTTGTCGGTCTGTTTGAGGACACCAACTTGTGCGCCATCCACGCCAAGCGTGTCACCATCATGCCCAAGGACATCCAGCTTGCCCGCCGTATCCGTGGGGAGAGAGCTTAAACAGCAGTCCGCTCACATCTATCATAACGGTCCTTTTCAGGACCACCAAATACCCCAAAAGAATGCTTGATTACATAATAATGAAAACCCTCTGCCCTCACTCACTCACTCACTCACTCACTCACTCACTCACTCACTCACTCACTCACTCACTCACTCACTCACTCACTCACTCACTCACTCACTCACTCACTCAATCAAGTTCATTATTACATATTCTAATGAATAGAAGTATCTAGCAAAACAACACATACATACAAATGTTTACCCCGAATATGATACGGGGTATATAATATATATCTAAATATATCTATAACATGTAAAATACAATGTATTGTATTGATAACACACTGGCATGTACATATATACACAGATAAAACCAGCGGAACGCCGGACTCACTCGTCTCAGCTTGTATATACTGTATATAAGTGAACCCAAGCCGGCGCCCGGCGCGGCCGGGTCCGGGTCCGGCGTTCCCCAAAAAACGCTTCAGTTTAGTGCACAGGACGCGTAATTACAGCAATTAATGAACTCATGATGTTACAGTGGTAGTTTGTACCTGTCTATAATGCATTGCACCAGTATCCATAGACTTGTGCTTAACCCTAACCCTAACCCTAACCCTAGCATATTTTGACCCTAACCCCCTAACCCTAACCCTAGGTCATCAGAAAAAAAATATATAGGTAGGTCATTTCTACATACAACATAGGCAGACAACATTTAAGTTCAACCGCGATCCCAATTTTACTGTATCTCAACTCAAACCTTCAAAAGTTGTCTCCCTTCCATTACATGCACTGTACACACGACCGATTCGATTTACCCAGTGACACACATGTACAATTATAACAACAACAATCATCATCATCAACACCACCATTCTATCGCAAACGGGTTTTTTCCCCTTATTACTATACATTATGTATAATATATTAATAATAAAATAGGATATGTGTGTATCGTATGTATATCCTATATACAGTGTAAGTAACTATAAGCAAGCAGGGAATATGTCGTTTGTTGTTTTGTTTTGTTTTGTTTTCATCATATTTGCAAGCATTCTTTTGTGAGATTTGGTGGTCCTGAAAAGGACCGTTGGAGTAGAAGAGTGGGCAGGATTTTTACTTTCCGGCGGACTTCTGGGTCTTCTTGGGGAGAAGAACAGCCTGGATGTTGGGGAGGACACCACCCTGGGCGATGGTGACTCCGGACAGAAGTTTGTTCAACTCCTCGTCGTTCCTGATGGCCAGCTGCAAATGTCTGGGGATGATTCTGGTCTTCTTGTTGTCTCTGGCGGCGTTACCTGCCAACTCAAGAACCTCAGCGGCCAGGTACTCCAGAACGGCAGCCAGGTAGACTGGGGCTCCGGCACCGACACGCTCGGCGTAGTTGCCTTTACGGAGGAGACGATGGATACGTCCGACGGGGAACTGAAGTCCGGCCCTGGAGGAGCGGGACTTGGACTTGCCCTTGACTTTTCCGCCATGATATTGCTGGAATATTGCTAAACACGGCGTAAAACCCTAGTCACTAAATTTTAAATAAATGCAGTCCCGGCCTACCGGCATATATTGTCGAAGTTGATAGTAGATGCCGTAAGAGGAATGCTTACACATGCAAAATAGAAATAAATACGTGAGGCAAAGACAACTAAAGTCACGTTTGAAGTCATTTACAAGGGATACACATAAGGAAGTGAGAGAGATACGCATAAGGAATGTGTGGATTATATTCCTTCCTTGTATGACTTATGTGTATCACTTGTAAACGCCTTTCAAAGTGAGTGAGTATGTTATATGGTTTTACTCCGCTTTTAGCAATATTCCAGCAATATAACGGCGGGGAACGCCAGAAATGGGCTTCACACGTTGTACCCATGTCGGGATTCGGGTCTTCGGCGTGACGAGCGGACGCTTTAACCACTATGCTACCCGTCCCTTTCAAAGACTTGATACGACCTAAACATGGCGATGATGCAGTAACATTGATTCTCCCCATTAAGAAGGAGGTATATACTCCGAAAACTTCTGTTCCTCATGATAAATAAGTTGACATATATTCTGACGTTTAAACTGACGTGGTGGTGAAGGTTTAACCTGTCCCGTCCTACACACATTCACCAAACCGAAAACGCACATAAGCCCAATCACATAGTGCACTTGCACCTAAAATATTCCCCTCTGAACGGCCACAGTACACAGTTGGGGTACAATTTTACACCTGCGGGTAAAGTGCCGAGAAATCTCCGCTGTGTAATACACTACCCAGAGGCATATTATAAACCATACAGGCTTCGTGGGAAAAAAAGTTCAAAGAACTTTTTTTTATCAACGACGAAGGCCGCAATAAATTTCAATTTGTGTAGCGTATATTTCGTAATGATAAGTGGGAGTAGTTTTCTACAATACAGCCTCGCGTTAATGAAAATAGGGGTTGAAAAGTCCAGAAGTGGACACAGACCTTTGTGGACACAGACCTTTGTAGACACAAACGACAATGTGCCAGCCATGAATATTAAACCAACCAATAACTACTATACTATTTTAATTCTTGTTGGGAACGAAGGTGGTTAAATTGAAGAAAGATTAAACAAGCACTATTAATACACCTTTAGTCAGGAGGGGGCTTCCTGTGACAGGTGTAAAAAAGTAATTCAAAGATGGACTCATGAATACAGTGCCGTTTTTTGAGTAAAGATATTAGTGGGGACAAAACTGTGTTACTTTGCTTTGGCCTTAAACATCATGACAAGCTTGGCAGCAATGGAAGTGACAAGCCATAGAGAAGCGTAGTGATATGTATGTGTATTGTGATGTGCCATAACAACTCAAGCTGATGGCAATGGTCAGTGCCGCTACCTGGATTGGATTGGATTGGATTGGATTGGATTGTCGTTGAATTTAGGCGGAGTTGCTTGACACAGTCGATATACATATGCAGTCGACATTGCCGACATCGTCACACAGGTATATAACAGGTATATGACATTACTATGGTATAACTACTGCAGTAGCTAGGGAGTACATTGTGCAACATATACTCGGCGGGAGAAACGTGTTTAGTCCGCTAGTCCTTACAATGATAACATGTAGAAAAAATTGGCAATTTTCTACAAGTACTCATGAAACTATTGGTCATTTTCGCAAGGACAACAATACTGGTACTGGTACTGGTACTGGTACTGGTACTGGTACTGGTGGCAACGTGTGCATGTTTTTGTGAACAGAGGGCATATATATGTCTTATGTCTTCTCACATGTTCTATTCACTTGAAATAGAACACACTTAGTTTAATAAACTCAAACTTAAAAAAATGGTACATATCATATCATATCATATCATATCATATCATATATCATATCATATCATATCATATCATATCATATCATATCATATCAAAATGTATCCAATTTTTTAACTGTCAGCAAAGAGCGAAAGTCACAAAGACATTACAATTATCTACAACAAGAGAATAACAATACATCTATGTATGTAAACATACGTAAATAACTGAGGTGCCGCAGAGAGTCAGAACTGGGCTGTGCGTAGTCCTGCACCATGGGAATATATTTATTTTATGATACAAAACCACAAACAATCAAAGTATACAAAAGCAAGTAAAGGCCAGCTCCAGCGAGCTCTATTCCACAGCATAGGGAGTCAGGAAGGATATTGTGTAATATAAGATTTCATAGACTAAGTTAGTCTAGGCTGTTGTGTGCCTATGCTTGGTTGGAGAGTGTAATTTGGTTTGTTTTCACTTTGTACAAACTTTGATGAGGGAAGGATTAAAACTTTTAGTCAGCTGAATTCAATTGTGTAGTTTGTTTCACTGATCAATTTGTGAATTAACAAGATTAAGTATTGCTCCATGGATTAGCGTCCAACGTTTAGAACTGTGCCTGAGTTGGCTATGTGGTCATGCATGAGTGGTTTCTATAGGTCCCTACATAGTCTGTGTGGTCACTGACCCGTGTGATCTGTGTGGGAGATGGGCTATCAATGGGCATAGGGGTGTTTGGGTTGGGACAACTTGAGACAGTATTACAATAATAGCAGTGTGAGAGGTATCATAAGCCTGGGAGTTTCTGAGTAAGTATACTGGTTTCCCCTGTGCACTATTTTATGATAAAATCATAATATGTCTGTAATATTTGTGTTTTACTAAATGAACTAATTAAGTTACCGTATTCGACATAATAAGCGCCCAGGGCGCTCTCAAAATTAGAAATAGGGGGCTCTTATTAGAATATATATTTTTGAGTTCAAAGAGCGTAAATTTCGTGGTTTATGCTGAAATGTTTATAAACGACAGATATATTTTTCCAGAATTTAATTGCCCATAATTAAGGGTGCATATAACAAACGTATTATGCACGAATAAATAGCCTTGTGTACATTTATCAATCGGAAGGGGTGCTAATTGGGATTGTTCACTAGCCAGTATATTAACAAATATCGCCGTGGGCGCTTATTAGAGCGGGGCGCTTATTACGTCGAATACGGTACTATGATAATTAAATGTAATATAATTACTGTTATAATAATGTGCTCATTATGTTTTCTCTACCTCATTTATTTCTATATTTTTGTCTGTAATGAATGTCTAGACAATTGCACGGCCAGCAGGGGGTCAGTCTAGTCTGGAACAAACCTAGTCCCCATGGTTCTATGTTTAACGTAAGTCTTGTGATATATATATTTGCCAACAATACCTGCTAGCAAAGTGAGAAAACCCCAGCACAACCCTGCTATTTAAACAATAGATTGTATTGTTGGCTATTGATACATGGTGGATGGCATCAACCCACTTCATATAATTTTATGAAACAGGTAAACAGTAAACAATGGCCATAAGACAGGTACACAGGTATGGATGACATGTTGATCAACCCAATTTACTGTTAAAGGGGTGCGCAAAATAAAAACAAAAAAACATTTTCTTTGCATCCTTTATTATCTTTGACTGAATGGATGTTCATTGTTCTAAAATGTTCTGAATAAGTGGGTAGGTGGGTAGCTTAACAAGAGATGACGATGTTTCAAGTATGCCAAACGCTTTTTTAGATTCCAAAAAGTCTGAAGTAAAGTAAAGTATTGTTCAGTTCAGTTCAGTTCAGTTCAGTTCAGTTCAGTTCAGTTCAGTTCAGTTCAGTTCAGTTCAGTTCAGTTCAGTTCAGTTCAGTTCAGTTCAGTTCAGTCCAGTCATAAAATATCCATAATTGTGTTAACTGATACACAAATGTGATGGTGAACTTCATGTTGAACATAACGACGAAATAGATTTGATAAAGTCACTTCCAGTAAACAAGATCCAGATGACATCAATCATTGCTTATTGAAACATCGATTACCAACCATTCAATACGCCATAGTATTGTTCGATTTGTCTTTGCATAAGGGGTTTATTACAAGAAGACAATATGGTATTAGTGATAACCAGCTGGTTCCAGACTAATCTCACAAACAGAGGCCAAAAAGTAAATGTTAACAGTTCTCAGGGGTCAGTCTTTGGTCAATTATTATTTTTATCTATATTATTGACATATGCTTTGAAGCAAGAAAAACTTACATATTATTATTTAAGTAGATCAAACTAGCCTAGAATGCATTGTTTTTATCAGACCGACTTAAGAATATGCCTCCGTTGTCTGGGACAGTTGCTCTTCTTATAATGCTTATGAATTAGAATTACTTCAACTTGAGGCAGCTAAATTTGTAACAGGATTAAATATTCCTCCCATTGCAGCCTATATCACTCAACTGGATGGCAGCCAGTAGTGTATAGAAGAAACATCTACCAACTATGTATGTAGTATGTATGTATGTATGTATGTATGTATGTATGTATGTATGTATGTATGTATGTATGTATGTATGTATGTATGTATGTATGTATGTATGTATCTATGTATGTATGTATGTATGTATGTATGTATGTATGTATGTATGTATAAATAAGCAATGTCCTCCACATGTAACTGATGTTATACCACCAGCTGTGTCACAGAATGTCAATCATGATATGAGAAACCACCACTATTTTATAGTACCATTTGCATGGACATCAACGTTTAAATGTTGTAGATGTGTTAGGCAAATACAATAATGTACCATCAGAAATAAGGGATAGTTTGTCAATATCTGAGCACCTACATCATGACCTGTGCACTATAATTGCGATGAGATCTACAAATATATTGCACTCTACATTGAGGCACTCTAAATTTTAACTTGTTTCGTGTTAAATATACAATATCCCCAGATTTATCTTCTTGGAATGTACCTTATGATGATGATAGGGAGTATTACTTTCACCTATCAATAATACAATTGTAAATTGTTCATTTCCATTATGCAATATTATGTTTAACTGTATAGAGGGAGTAGGCGATAATAAATGTTGCTCTTGTGCCTAATCCCTTTGTGTGTTTGGGGACAAAACAATATGTTTAATAATTACAAGATGACTGGTACAATATACACAGATTTATTTACATGAACATAATATATAAATAGCTAACAAATATATGCAATAATGGCAACAAACAAACAAACAAACAAACAAACAAACAAACAAACAAACAAACGATGACTCCTGCTGCTGCTGCTGCTGGTTTAGTGTTAAAGAGGTCACCTTCTGCTGTAGCAGTTGACTGACCTGTCTCTCTTTGGCACTTGTGTGTGAGTAGGTTTTAACATCTATTGACAGTTTTAGCATAACATTTCTGTTAGGGTGTATTGATATGATGTGTTTTTTATGTTTTCTTTTGCTGCTCTGGTTATAGATGTTCGAGTAGCTGTCTGAGATTGAGATAGTTTGGCGTATTGCCAATCTTCACTTTTGGAGCAGGGGAGGCAGTACCCAGACAGCGGTAGTACGGTAGCCGGACACTCAAACATTTATTTATAGCTAATTAGGTAACCTGCTGATCTTTTTCTGTTTTCCCCATTTAAAAATATGTCTGTTAGAGATAACTGTCCATGATCACCTTTCTAACATGACCGCCACACCTGTACGTTTATTGCTAAGCAACGCTGTTTTCAGTCTTAAATTAGTGTTTTCCAAGAGACTAATTTTAAATTGACTTTTGTGTAAGATAGGACTTTAAATATATGACAGTCTCAGCATACAGAATCTTCATGCATATATATCATAAAGTAATTATATTTTATATGTCTACATTAAACCTATTCATAAGTAGATTTTCTTCAAAACGTTCTTAATGTGTCATTATCTATTATTGCATTTAAATTTTATTGATTTTTAAAATATCTATAGAATCTTTTCTATTTATTTTATCTACTAATATATTTTACAACATTAAGGAAGTCAGCCAACATAAATAAACCTTTGCTTAACCTTGAAATGTAAAAGCAGTCACCACTCACAGAAGTGGGAAAAGCGCCTGTATATTTTGTTATTCCTCAAGCTAGACTCTGCGATAAAATAAAACTAAAAGTGCCAATGGAAGATCAAAAAGATGAAGAGGATGAACTTGTCAAAAGGGTTATACAAATGGTTGTGCCAAAATAGACAGTATATGTTGGTGATACCTGTATGTCAGGTTATCAAGACAAACATATACATGTTCCTATCATTTAAAGATAACTGTAGGATTATAAATTTGCATCTTACATTGAAATAAATTACCTAATATGATTATAGTGTAGCATATGTTGTGTGTGAGATATAGCCGAAACACAACTCACCATTGTGAATTTAAATACCTGTACCTGACAACAGGTTTGATGGGAATGCAATGTAAAATGATGATGCTGAAGGTGTGACCACCATCACATAGACTTGAAGTCTGAGCTATTGTTGGCGTAATGTCAGCTGTGTAACAAGACAGAGGTTTTCAGCTCAATATTTAGGACAACAACATTATAGGCGGTGGTCATAGGCAGGACTATATTGTTTTCACGCTTTGTGCGGGGATATTGTTGAAGAACATATTGAACGCCATCAGGACG